GGGCCCTGACGCCTGACCGGCGAATCCCGTCGGTCACGGCGCCGTGTGTGTCCCGCAGGAGGTGACGATGAACAAGCCCGTGACGACCTCAACGTACGTCCGCTGCATCAGCTACGGGCTCATGAGGCGGCTGGCAGATTTCATCGATCCGCAAGAAGGGTGGAAGAAATTAGCAGTCGATATAACCGACCCGTCCGGTGAAAGCAGATACAACCAAATGCATATAAGGTCCTACAGAGATCATAACCTTATTAACTGTTTAGCACAAATACCGTTGTCCATCCCATTACTGTAACATGTTGCAGTTTGTGTGCCAGTAGGTACTTACATCTTCCAGTCCCATTTCCTTAGGGAACTCAAGGTAATTACTCCTAATGGTTCTGTAGTTAAGTTTTCAGACAAGCTATAGCCAAAGAAAATTGACTAAGGAAATTAGAATTAATTAGAGCCACAGACATAGGTATTTCTAGCCATCCAGCATTGGCTGTGTAACTTTCTGTACCCTAGAGACTAGTAAACATTGACTTCATTGTGCATCTTCACACAGGAACAGCACTAGAGGCATCTGGACCATAACTCCTAGTTCACTGTTCCCGAGAAAATGTCCAGCAAACGTAGGGAGCTTGAGGCCTAAAACTTAACGAGTTTAATGGAGAAGTAATGTCAGCAATACTTTATGAACATCTCATTGCTTGAAGGGCTGTTTGAATCCTTATGCTGTTTCAAAGGTTGTGAGATTTTAAATACCCTGCGTTATCATCTTGGGTTTCCGGTCTTTCTACTGATGTTAGCACTGAATCTTTGTTTGTCTTTCTATGATAATACATCAGTCAGACAACTGGATCTCAATTTCTGCTTAATGCCCACCTCACAATGAAGTGTGAATGCCAAATAGATGGAAAACACTGGAATTTTTTTCCATTTGATTTGGCTGTGACTTGCCCACTGTCTCTCACTGACTTTGTCTTCTCTGCTAGTCCTATATGCCAATATATTATGGGTCCTGGACAAAATGTTGAAGCCATGTATGTATATTTTTCCTTAATTTTTCCCATAACTTGCATGTTTTTCCCCTGAGTTGGAATTCCTTTGTTTTTCTTAGCTGCATTTTCAGAAGAATTGTGAATAACTGTACAGTTCAGTACAGTCAGAATTTTGAAAGGGTTTTTTTGGTCATTTACCTTTAATCTCTTCCCCTTCTTCATGGTTCTTGAGGTCACTTTTTTTTTTTAATGTTGGTTTTAATTTATCTTTTAAGGAGATTTGAGGCATTTGTACAAATGGGAAAAAGCCCCACATGTGAATTGCTGTATGACTGGGGAACAACAAACTGTACAGTGGCTGATCTTGTGGATCTGCTGATCAGGAATCAATTCCTAGCACCAGCAAGCCTTTTGCTTCCAGGTAACTGTTACTCTTGTACATTTTGTACTGCGTTCTCAGGGTTTTTTTTTAAGATGCTGAAGAGCTTCATAGTACCTTGAAAATCAGAAAGGATTAGGTCAAAGTAACCAAAAGTGGATATATTTTCCATTATTTGCAATGAGTTAAAAGAAAAGTTTAAAGTTTAAGAATCTGCAGTTTAAACATGGTGACAGAGTATAACCTCATGACTCTTACATGTCTCCTGATCTTAGTAAATGTTGGCATTAATGTTACTTGTTTTTTCTGTTTCCTAATGTTGTTAACACTTTTTCTAAATTCCATTTTCAGAAGCTGTAAAGGTGGCACAGGAAGTTACCTTCCCTCTTTCTTCACAGGAAACCATGCCTATACATGAGAAACAACTGCCTGTACAGGAAAAAGAAGTGGCATCTCTAAAGCCTATTTTAGTTCAGAGTACTGAGAAGCAACAGTCAGCTCCTTCCTACTTCAGTCAAGAAAATAGCAGCTCACAGTCCAGTAACACAGGTAGGCACTTAGTTTGGTAGAATTAAGTACAGTCTTTTTTTGCTGATGGGTCCTTCACCCCACGTAAAATAAATCATAGCCATGCATTACAGTAATGGCTGTATTCTTACCATCCTGCATCTCTGGGAAACAGCATCTTGCTTTTGCTCTTGTTCTGTGTGGCTATGAATTTACGTTGGGTGATGAAATGTCTGAATATCAGATGCACCTTGCCAGTAAGGCTGCTACTGTGATGGAAAACTTGACTGTTAATTAAATAGCAATTTATTTTGTGCTGCACGTAATCCTGCTGCCCTTTTTTAATACTGGTTTTGTAGGCTGTTCAGCATCTTGTGTGCTAAAGCTGGATTTTACATGTCAGAAATGACTATGAATGTTGGAGAAAAGATGGCTAAAGAAAGCATTCTAGGAAAGTGTATGGTTGTTCTATTCCTTCCTAAAGATCTGCTTTTGGGTTGCTGCCAGAAATATGATGTGACCCAGATAGATTTTTACATCTGATCCAGTGTAGCGCTCTGATCTGCTGCACATGTAACTTCTATTACCTGTATTATGAGTTTTAACAAATAATACAGCCAGAAGGCTGCTACAGTGCTAGTTGTGAGGATAATTATGTATAGCTAATTATATATATTTATCTGCGTTTGTTTGTTTGTTTTCTGATATCACAAAGCTGGAAGTAGGGCTCCACTATGTCAGGATTTGTGTGGTACAAAGTTTTTGGTTTAATAGAACTGAAGCAGAAAATCTATTCAATACACTTAAGTGGAAACACAGCTCTGTGCTAAATGGCAAATATATGTCTTTCAGATTTCCATAATTTCTCGTTTCACGACTTGGAAAGCATTACAAATAATTTTGATGCGCGACCAGAATCAGCTGGAGGTAATAAACTGGGAGAAGGTGGCTTTGGTGTTGTGTTCAAAGGCTACATCAGCGGCAAAAACGTGGCTGTCAAGAAGCTCGTTGCTGTGAGTTGTCCTGGACATTTTCTTTTTAATGGCTGTGCACTTTGTGGTATAGACTTACTTATCTGTGGAGAGTGTTGAATGATACACTCCAAAAAGCGTCACCACATTAAACATGAGTTGGGTTGAGAACCTTTTCCTGAAGTCCCCTGAGTGGTGTGAGCTGGCACAGTCAGCAGAGATGAAGCCTTTCTGTAGCTCTCCTTTGAGTGGCTCAGGCAAGTTCTCTGGAAGAAGAACTGCCCAGTTCCCCTCCCTCCCCTGCACACAAGAAGTGGGAAAGGGAAGGGGTGCTTGGGCGGTTTCCCTTTCAGAATCAGCTGAGCGATTCACAAGCTAAATGGGTGTTGTCACAGAATTTTAGTCTTCATAACCGGTGGGTAACTGCAGTGAAATAAAATGGGTCAGTTGGTGACTGTGTTGAAACTGGATCCATTTGCCCCATAATGTTGTGTTCCAAGGAATTAAAAAGATGTTCTGATACTTCGAGTTGAGTAGAAAAGTATTGGAAACGCTTAAGTAATTCTTACATGTAACTTATTAACAAAAAGCTTACAATTCCAATTTTTTTAAATGAAAGTGCGTTTTAATATGGCCAGCGATATTAACATCAAATATTTTCTTTTGTAGATGGTTGATGTTAGTGTTCAGGACTTGAAACAGCAGTTTGATCAAGAAATAAAACTGATGGCAAAGTGAGTACAGAGTTATACAATTCCATTATAGCCTTTCATGGGAGTGTGAGGTGGCAGATAACACATTAACTAGTGTGTGACCAGTTATTTTCGGCTTTCTAGCATAACAACGATTTTCATGTTAAGTTAGATCGTTTCATATACAACATGACTGTATTCTCTTCATTTTAAAGTGCCACTGCAGAAACCTGGGTGTGCGGAGTAGGGCTGGAACAAGTAATTGGGGCTCAAGCTCCCCCTGCCTTGTATTTCCCTCAGATGTTGGGAGACTTTCAGAGCGTATATGATTAGAAATTTCTGTCTGTAGGTGTCAGCATGAGAATCTGGTAGAGTTGCTTGGTTTCTCCAGTGATGGTGCTCAGCCGTGTCTGGTGTACGAATACATGCCCAACGGTTCGTTGCTTGACAGACTTGCTTGTCTGGTAAGTAAAATATTTTCTAGCTTCAGTTGTCTTACTTCTCTAAAGTGTCGGCATCTGTGAAATGGCTTTGAACCAGTACTGAACTGCAGTGGCCAAACAGTGTTTTACTACTTGCTTCTGTCTTCTACAAGACAAATCTGATAACCAGTATCCTTCCAATAGTGTTCTGTATAAATGTTTTAGACACATGTAGGTCAAAGCAGGCTGACAGTTCAGTGTCAGGTACCAGTACCTGAAGTGGCACAGGAGCTTGGGCTTGCTGTGCCTCCGTCGAGCGGAGCCAAGAGTGCTGCAGTATTGTTCCCCGTTCTGACACTGGTGTGTTCTTGGACTAGTTCTTGAGATTCGGCATTGTGAAACTGTCCTTCGTTCATTGCCCTTGTAACAGCGGTTGGAACACAATGTTCACAGTCTGCACGTCTCTTTCTGAACTGCATAAATACATGAGAAATATTTTTTTTTTAATTAGTGTTTTGTGTAAATGCAATGCTTTTGATTTAATCAAATGATGTATCTTCTAGCCTTGGCCTCTAATAAATAAGTTGCCTTTTTGTTTTTTGAGTGAGGCAACTCTGTGTATGGACAACCCGTTGCTTGCTAGAGTGATACCAATAGTAACCCAGAGTTAACCTAGTAGATGAGTGTCCATGTTGGTTTGTTGAAGGAGTTCAAAAATCTGCTTTTTACTAAGCAAATGCAGCTTCTGAGGATGTAATCTGCTGAACGTTTTAAACTGCTGCTACTTCAGCTCCCTCCACGCCCCCAGACCTAAAATGTCAGTGTGCTTTTTTCTGCATCTGTCTTCCTGTTGTACTGGATCAAGCACTAGTTGGAGGAAGAGCTGGGTTTGGGAACTAATCAGGCTGAAAACATACTTGTTGAAAAAAAATCTTTAATTTTCACCTGGAGACATTTCCTCTGTAGGGCTGCACAAATACCTCTGCCTCAAGGGGCAAGGAGTGCTGTTAGGATGAGAATGAGTAGCAGTGGTCCGGGAAAGGACTGGATATGTTTGGTAGCATTGCTGTCTCAGGTTGGTTGGTTTGCTTGAGCACACTTACACTGGTGCAGGCTGTTTTGGTTTTACCTGAATCAGTGCAGAAGAGAGATGTAAGTTTTATTTAAGGCAGTGCAAGTTTATCTGTAAAAGTGAGCAGTTCTGGGCAATATGAAAATGTTCATCCATGTAACTGGCCATTATCATCAGATGAGGTTAAAAGATTGGGGGTAATTGAAAGCTAAAGTAGAAATAACTGAGCTCTTTATGAGTTACAAAGTTTGTCTCTTCCTTGTAAAGAATCTAAACAGGATCTATAAATCAGAAAGAATCTTCTGATAAAGTTGAAGAGGTGAGGAATGTGTTTACTGAATTGTGTTCTTGCTGATAACTTCATTTTGTGACTTCCTTGGATGTGTGTGAGGCATGGACTCTTGTGTTTGTCATCTTCTTGTCTGGACTTGGAGGAGCAAGCAAGAGAGGTGGTAGAATGGAGAGATACTCTAATCCTCTTCCCTTGGCCACTGACACGATTAGGAAGTGGTTTTGAAATGTAGGTGTCCTCACTTCCGAGGTCTAGTTAGTAACATGAATTGAGCTAAACTCTTGAGAAGTGTTAAATCCAAAAACGCTGGAAAATTGACTTCTCATTGTTAGTAAAAACTGTTGGTTGCCTTGAATTACTTGCTTTGGGTTAAAAGGCTATGGTATGGGTGCCGGTACGAAGTGGAAGATGCAGTAGAGACGGGTAGTTCTTGCGGTGCAGCTGGCCTTGTGGGGTCAGAGACAAATAATATCAAGAACACTTTTTGCAAGGGGTGAATTAATCTAAGGCAAAATGCAGGGGGAAGAACAGAAAGTGACAAATGCCTGTATCTCTGCTCAAGTAAATTAAGAAATGTATGCTATTAATGGTTTGTTTTTTTTTTTTTTTAACAATTTACTCCAAAACCACAAAACATAGCTAGAAGTCTGTTTTGGATTGCGGGGTTTTTGTATGTTTTGTTTTATGTGAACTTATATGTATATGAATTTCACCTTTCTAATTGCCTTTCTCTATTCTTATTCAAGGATGGCACTCCACCAATTTCTTGGAATATCAGATGTAAAATCGTTCAAGGGACAGCAAATGGCATCAACTTTTTGCATGATAATAATCATATTCACAGAGATATTAAAAGGTAAAAGCTGCTGACTATTGCTGGCTGCGTTTTCCATTTTCCCTTTTTCCTTTTTTCTTTCAGTTTTTTCTTTTTTCCTCCATTAAAGTCACTTTAGAGAGAACAGACTGCAAGAAGCATTGCTTCATTCAAGGGCAGAATCTTTTCTGCAAGTGACATCCATCACCATAATTTTGTCTGTGCCACAAGGATATGACCAGTACAGACTTCTAAAGATAATTATGAGGCTATTGTAATCTCTTACTATCAGATAGTTATTTGAGTGCTGCAAGGACACCCACAAGTTCTGTTATGAAAAAGCTGCTGTTAGAGAACATAATGGCTTTTTAAATGGGGAATTTTTCAGATGAAAACCCACCTTTTTTTTTCTTGGAACATTTCTTCAGTCTGTCTCCTTTGACTTACTGCTATTTCTTATGAAGACAGTAGAATTACTTCAGTCAGGTTCATGAAGTTCAGGGTTCTTCAAGGATAATGTATGTTCACTTGTTGTTAAACCATGTTTCCCCTGCTCCCTTTGATACACTTCGCGGTTTGGGTTTGTGGGTTTTTTTTAAACACCACAGCAGTCCAATTCTTTGAAGAAAAGCCCCAAACGCCTTACTCCCATGGATTAAGAAGGATCATCTGAGTGATAGACTGGGTGTCAGGGATGTCATATTTCAGTAGCATTCTGGCTTCTGGCAACTCAGCTAAACATAGGCCACTTTGGTTTGTGACCTTCCAGCTTGCGAGGAACAAGCTCTTGCTTCAGCTGCCTCACAGAATGGGCTTGCTGCTTTGACCATTTGTTTCTTCTTTCTTCCCTGCTTAAGCCTCTGGACAAGTGTAATGACTGGAAGGGACGTATTTTCTTACCTTAGGCTACTCTACCCTTCTCAATGCTGTGAGTTGATCATATTGCAGGATGGGGGGTTCTTTTGTTTGGATTCTGTTTTGCAACCTCTTGCACTTGCAGTGTGAATAGTTCAATAAACATTATTAGTGTTAATAATAATGCTGCTGGGTAAAACTTAGATGAAGAGACGTCTACGAAGATTAACTTCCGTCTTCATCTTGCTATGACATGTGGAGACAATTCATAACCACACAGGCACTAGAACAGCTTCTCTAATAATCGGTCTTTTATAAGAATTGTTTGTATTTTGTAGGATTATGGGGGGAGGGGGTGGTTTTTGGTGGGGTTTTGGGTTTTTGTGCATGCATGCACAAGAAAAAACATGGATGGATCTTGTCAGCCAGCTCTTGGTTTATGTAGAGAAACTAATTTTGAAATTGAGCTATTTCCAACAAAATTAACTCTTATCTTTTGAATGAATCTATGAATACCATATAAATATCTTAGATTTCAAGGAAGAGCCAAAATAGCGGTTTGCATTTGGTTACAAAAGTGTTATTAGACTGTTATAAAAACTAATCACTGTGCTGGTTTGGGAAATTCTCTTTTCTTTTTTCCATCCCCACAGTGCAAATATCTTATTAACTGATACATACACGCCCAAAATTTCTGACTTTGGACTTGCAAGAGCGTCTGTAACGTTCACACAAACAGTCATGACTGAAAGAATTGTTGGAACAACCGCCTATATGGCACCTGAAGCTCTGCGAGGAGAAGTAACACCCAAATCTGATATCTTCAGTTTTGGAGTAGTAAGTAGAACGTGGGAAGCAGTATGAGTTTTTGGGGTTTTTTTAAACGATAAAGCATACAAAATCAAGAACATCTGACATTAAATAGTCTACTCTGATTTCTCATTTTTCTTTTTCCCAATATTTGTGCTGTTAAGATAGTCTTTCTAATCTTTGATTGGTTTAAAATAATTTGAAAATGTTCAGTTTGCATGAGAAAGACCAGAGTAAAATAACATTCCAAGTTTTGGCTAAATGTAATTTAAAGTAACGTGGAACATTTGTTTCTTCTTGGACAGTGTTGCACAAAAATGTAACACAGGCTGGAAAGAAAAAAAATTAAAGAACATGTTCCAAAATTGTATTTTACCATATTTCAGCACCAAAAGTACTCTGGCTGCGTGGGATTTGCCTTGAAGCAGAGTACAAAAAAAGGCAAGAGGTTAATATTTGGGAGAATAATGAATCGGTTCTGAATAGATCCAAGACTGTAATTGCTATTGACCACTTCCTTCATGGCATTTAGTTTCGTGGGGAGGTAGGCCGGAGACTGTGTCTGCATAGTTTGGAAATCCTTCCCTCTTGCTCTGAAGCAACACAGCGTAGGGTGAGAAAAACTTGTGTTGAGGCTCAGAAGCCACACTGCTAATAACAGTTAGTGAAGATAAAGGTAGGAGCAACAGTTGTATAGAGAGCTGTCTTTGGCCAAACACAGGTCCTGTGAGCATTTGTTTGAAGAACTGGGGGTCGTGCTCCTTTTTGCACATGGTGTATGTGCTAAGGATTATTCTAGGCTTCATTTTTCTCTTCCATATTTTTTTTTCTCCTAGGTCATACTAGAAATAATAACGGGTCTTCCTCCAGTAGATGAAAAGCGTGAGCCACAGTTACTGGTATGTTCCTTTTGGCTTTCTCTTCCCCCATCCCTGCTCCAGGATCACTTTATATGAAATCATAACCAGTTAACAGGTTCTGAGACACTTAAATTAGTCATCAAAATACGTAGCTAGGAAAACAGCTCTTGTGTCAATGTTTCTTGTGGAGGTGAGGCTGAAGCTTTTATCTCTTGGCTGGTAGAAGGTTCTTTAGTTCCCGAGGTGATCTCCTTCCCATCGGATACTGTAATTCTCTTTGTTTTGGTACTGCTTCTTGTAACACCATTATGCCCTATCAGCATACTCCTCTTGCACCCAGATACCCAGACAGTTCCTCGTTCGCCAGAATATTATCATCTCAGTTGTTTCTTTATACTTCTTAACATTCCTGTATCAATTTTCTTAAACTTCTAATAATGTGCATATACCTTGTGTTTTTAACCTTAGGGAAGTTTGGAATGTAAGGGCTTCTTTTCAATGTGAGGGGTGGGTTGAATTTAGTTTTCTGGTTTACTATTCAAGTAGAATTTCATCTACTAATTAGAAAAATAATATCTCAGACCTCACTCTCTTGAATTAAGTCTTACAAGGCTGTTCTGCCTTTTATTTAGCTTAAAATTAAATTCTGAACTACTTCATCCAAGGTGTTCCTAGAATATTTTTTCCAATAAAGACTTACCCATTTACTAAGTATGAGATAGCATGGAGGCTTGGGTAGGTTTTGTTCTGTACTGGCTGATAGCAGATCACTTTCTTCCACTTTTTTAGGAATACCTGTGTACTATTAATAGATTCTTTTTTTTTTTTTTTTTCCCTCTAAGTTGTATCTTCTGAAGTGTCATAACGCTTATCCTATGGATCCCTGTAAAGGCCTTGGAGAACTCAGTCCCTGTCAAATTGAATCTTGAGGTTTTGGGTTTTTTTTTTTGCAGCAGGGCTTTTTCCGAGATAGGATCTAAAAAGGAATATAAAGTATGATTTGGCTGGTACAGTTTATCTTTGTAATGTACTTTTGAGAGCACAAAGAGAACCGTCAGTGCAAGGTAATGTGCCATCCTTAGCTTTGAAAATTTTGGGGTAGTTGGATGTTAGTCAGCAATTTCAGACTGACCTGTAGTTGAAGGCAGAAGACCTGCCTCTACTTGCTGACTTTTTATTTCGTACTTCATTTACCATGCTGACTTGCCTGAGGTGTATTCCTCAAACAGTGTTTGTGACTCCAGGTAACTCATTCCAAGTGTCTTGGGGCTGGAGAGCTTTGGATTAAACCAGTCAGATTTAAAGATTTATTTCAGACTAGAAATTTCCTTTAGAATAGATGTAGCAGCCATCGAGTCTGGTGACAAGAGGCCTTAGTTTACAGAAAGGCTTTATAAAGTTAACAAAAGAAGAAATTATTCACACTTAAGCTTGTGTATGAGTGGGTTAAGTAAACATAAGTCATCTGTTGAGCATGCTGCTTCTCTTAAAGAGAGACAGTACTAAGAAACTGAGCCTTGAACTGGGACAGTTAAAGTTGTATGATGCAGCTTAAAGAAAATTGCTTCACAATTTTATGTTAACTCAATTAGAAATAATCTATAATCAAAATGTAAGGTCTGTTTGTAGTGTCACAGGCTGTTTCTGCAGGTACTGATGAATAATTATGCTCCTGAGCCATTGTCATCATTCTTCGTCTAGAAAAGTGGCTGGGAAGAGGAATGAACTCTCAAAAGTGTGTTCAAAGTGTTGATGGGGAATACAGTGTTCGGTCGCTTACGTTACCTGCTCGTTGGTTCGAACTCTTTTGCAGTTAGGTATCAAGGATGAAATTGAGGATGAGGAAGCAACTGTTGAGGATTATGTTGACAGGAAGATGAATGACTGGGATGTACCTTCAGTTCATAAAATGTATTCAGTTGCTGATCAGTGTCTGCATGAGAAAAAAAACAGAAGGCCAGACATTAAGATGGTATGTAGCCATTCCTATAAAAGGCGTGTTTTGGGTGTGCCTGTATGAGCCATTACAGGATTGGTTTATGTTTCTGTCTGTTCTCCTGCAGGTCCAACAGCATCTACAAGAGATAAAAACTTGATGCGTGTTTCTTCTGACACACAGATGCTTTTGAAACGGAGCAGATGCCAGCAGCAAATACTGTATTAGCATTTAGTGTGCCATTACCTGCTTTTCTGCTTTTCAGAACTTTCTGGTCCGCATAGAAGGTGTGCTGTTAGCCTGTCACTACGGAGCTGGTTTTGTTAACCGAGCTGCCTTTTCACCTCACCTTTAGCCACTGGGACCTTCAACATGAGACAGCTTTGTTTTGTATCGCACAATTGCAGCGCTGGTACATCTTCTCCGCAGCTTTTTAAGCGCATTTCCATAGGAATCTATTTGATTCTTTTGATTTCCAAGGATCAGGTATGTCTGCTGCAAAGGCATATGGCAGTACCAGGGTGGAATGTTTTCGCTTAGCATTTCAGCTTGAGCGTTCATGTCGGCGTGAATGGACTGGCAGTGGGTGTGAATGTGACTGTTTTTCAAAAAGGCTTCTCAGGATTGGTTTTAGTAAAATAAATGCTGTGAGATGCTTGTCTTGCAGCAGCGAGATAGGTTGGGTTTTGGTTTTAAGGATTCACAAAATAATTTCCTTGCAGTGCAGATACAAAAAAACCCACCTGGTTTTCTTCCAGTGAACTGTGTATGATGACAAACCATTTAATTTTCGTTCATAGGAAGACTCTCTGCTACTTTTGAGTATTTTACATTCGTGGAGAAGTTTCCATGTAGATTATAAACACAGATGATATATTTTATTAAAGGGGCCAGAATAATTATTCTAAGACTGTTTCTGAATTTTACTTTGTCAAACACTAAAGCTCTTTAAAAAAAAAAGAAAAAAAGAAACAAACAAAAGAGTATGTCTGCATATTAATAAATATTAAGATAGACTTTTAAAAAAGCAACATGGAAAGCCTTCCAAAATAGATGCATTGACAGATCAAAGCAGACTAAAAATGGAATGAAGTAAGATTCCAGATGCTTTGGACTAAGCAGGTATGGAAATACTACCGTTGTAAAGGAAGGAGGTTATTTTAATATAATCCTTTTTTGCACCTTATGAACTTTTCTTGACAGCTTAGGGGGAGGAGAATAGCCTGGCTTACAGCTACATTGATAATCCAGGATTATCAAAGAAAAAGGACAGACACCTCTCTCTTTGTGGAAGGCATGTGATTCCTAACTGTGGTATTTGGATCATGAGATCTCTGGCTATTAACTCATTCTTTATTACTTTCCAAAACTGCTAAGTTTAATTTAGAAAAAGGTATCCACCTGAACGGCCGGTTTTATCGAGCAGAAATTGTAAACAGCTGTTAACAAAAACTCTGCAGGATCACTGCAGATGATTATTTCTGCTACTAAAACTTGGAGCCCTGGAAACAATAGTCACTTTACATTGCTTGCATTTCTGACAGTAACGCTGCGCTGAGCCCGCTGCACGGAGTACAGCCGTGCTGCCTGGGGCCTGGGCCCGCAGAGAGAAAAGCTGCCGTGAAGCTAAACCAGAATAAAATCTGCTTAAGCCCTTCTCCAGTTTTAAACATCTCCTCCGGCCGTTATGGGAAGCTTTCTTAGCAGATCACGTCTGCTTTTCACTCTTCCCTGGAGCAGGAATACGCCCCCGGTGTGCGCTGTTCACCTCTGCTGCGGTAGGATGGCTTTGTCTACACACCAGCTGTGACGTTCTAACCCTGAACAGACTCTTGGCTACGAGCATGCGAGTTCCTGTTCTGCCGTACCTGACCTGACCGTTGGCAGGGCGGCTGCCGGTACCTAGGGCTTGGCAGCAGATTTCCCTCGCTCGCTGAAAACGAAGTGTGTTAGCTATCGTGTCAGGAAAGAGAAGAGGGCAATTCTCGGACTCGTTGAACACTGCTCTGGCGAGGAGCGAATCGTGAGGCGTTCAGCGATTAGATGAAGCGAGCGAGCTTCTGCGGGAACTTGATGAAATACACGGTGCAAGAAGGAGCTTTCCCCTGCGAGATCTTTCTTTGAGGTCTCACACGGTGAAGTCAGCACCTGTAGGTGCTGACAGGGACTAAGAGTAGCTGACTTCTGTTTCCTTTGTTCCCTGCAAAAACACTAAACCAGCCTAGGATGGTTCGCTGCAGTAATCGCTGTGGTGAGGCTTTCCAGGGCATGAACTGGTAACTTCCGTCATTCCAGTTCTTTGTGAGCAAAGGGATCATCTAGTTCCATAGAACTGGAGGGGAGAGAGAGATCTGGTGCAGTTCCTGCTGGGTGAAGGGAGCTGCATGAGGGCGATGCCCTCGAGGTAGGAATAGGGCCAGCGTGGTGGGCCTGCATCCTCTCTTGGTGAGGTGGGTGCTGCAGGGCACATCCCAGGACCACTTTTCTTGGGGAAAGAGCCAGCCTTCTGCACAAGGATCCAGAGAACTGTGACATGAAACAATTCCATCACCCCCCAGAAGGAAGTAGGAACGAAGAGCAAGAGTGAGTTATTGCAATTCCAACCAAGACCCTAGAAAGTAGCTGCAGGATAAAAGCAAATGCTAACGAGCCAAAGAAAATGGCTGTTAAGGAAACCTCTTAATGCAGGATAACAGTTCTCCCCCTGGATGCAGCCAGAGGTAACAGAATGGCTGCTGTCGGTCAGACCAGAGGTGTCTGCACAGCCCAGGGCCAGGACATGAGCCATTGGCCGTGGCTGAGGAACGAGCACAAGAGCAGGACACGGATGTAGCGACACCACGTTGGAATGCGGCTGCTTGGTACAGCTTGCAGCTCGGTAACTGGGAAAAGGATGCGAGGTCTTCGTTAGTTATTAAGCCTCTTGATCAGTTTGGCCAGTTGCCTTTTAAGCCAACACGCCTTTTACCAACCACAGCACTTCCTGTTCCTGAAAGGGGAAGCACTGACTCATCTTTAGGTTTGGGCTGGCCAGCTGAGCGTTTAGTTTACAACCACTGACCAAAAGGCAAATAAAACTGCTTCTGATACTCACGGGCACACAGAAGTCCAGCCTGTTCCCTCCTCTTACCTTGCTCCTGCTCCCCTTCCAGGAACAGCTTTGTTCCTGTATGGCAGTTTGCATTAACATTACTCTCCAAATCCTAGTTCCACACATCTTCAAGTTTCCTTCTTCCAACTGCAAAACCACCCTATCACCAACTTCCCCTTGGGGCTGTGTTGGCAGGACAATTAAAAGAAAAGCCAAACCACTAAATGTTCTTTTCAGCTTAAATTTTGAGGGCAAAACTTCAAGCAAACTACTTTGTTTAGACAAAAAACCCCATTAACAGAACATCATTTGAGTAGTTTAATTATAGTACACCTCATGCTGAGCAAGTAGCAACAGATAAACTTAAATTACTGATCAACTACTTCAGCATTTTAAAAGGATGGAAGAGCTTTTTGAAGATCTTTGTTAAAGAAATGACTCAGACAACACCAAACTAAAGCATCAATCTTTATTTATAAAGTAAATTACAAAATAGAGAAGGTAAACTTAGTTAATTTTAGCATCTGAAGGTGGTTTTCTTTGAATACACAGACACCCTAAATCAAAGTTTCCTTTATTGATGTCTTTACCCAGGTAATAGAGCAATCATTTCCTTGGTTAGTTTTACAAACCTCTGACAGGAGTGTTTTAAAACACCAAATTCTCCCTACCCTGCAACGTAAACGTTTCAAAAATAATTACCTGTCATGTTAACTGACAACTATTTCATAGCTTGTGGGTTAACTGCACGCAGCTGCATTGCTTCGGGGCTCTGTGAAGGCCACCACCACTTCTGAATGGACACTCTCAATTGTTAAATGATCAGAGACAGTAAAGGAGTAACTCATTAATGCCCTCATTTTGCACTGGCTCTGAACACTCGTTAACAGCAGCAGTGTAACGCGAGGCAATGATGCAAACGTGACATCTCCCTAAAGGGTCGGGTGCTTTTATTGCTCTGTCAGGAGAACAGCTACAGGAGGCCCAGAGAGGCTGTCACAGTGCGAGACTTCATACAGTTCTCTTGCAGGGGAAAGGTGAGGGGGAAATTTGCTCAGGACACGGCTCTGCGCTGGCTGCTCAGGGTGCTGCACGCCCACATGGAGTATTTTTGAGTAAGCTAACTTCCAACATCTGGTTTAGGCCAAACTAATACAGCTCGTTACAAACTCTCTCACACTATCACTTCACCTGCTCTCCCCATCCTCCAGATTAAGCTTTCTACCTCCTACCCTCATCTACCTAGGGCAGGATTAGGGAGAAAAACCAACCCACCCCAAAACCATATTGGGTCAAACTGTTCCTTATTTAAAAGGTTTGGTACTGAAAAGCTGAACTTCAGTGGCTCAAATGAGCGTAGAAAGGTATGTGCATCCTTGGTATGGCTGACGTGGGCAGGAGCAGTAAATTCAAACCACCCCTCCAACAGAAATTTAACTGCTACATTCAAAGGTTTTCCTTGAAAAAAAACCCAAAACCTAAAGTAAATTAGGTGTGCTGAAAAGATTCCATTAAAATACATCTAATTACAGTGCACAACGAACCGCACACACATTAGCCATGTCTGCAAAACAGCAACGCTTGCCTGACAGGTCGTCGTAGGGGAAACACCCCAAAGCCCCGCGCCGCCGTGCCCCAGAGGGAGAAGGCAGGAGGCAGCAACAGGAGGCAGTAGCTAAGGGCAAGCAGGAGATTAGATGAGGGTCAAGAGCTGTTGAACTGGATTGACGTAGTGTGTAAGATTAAAAGAAAAAAGCTGATGGGTCAAACTTCTCCTGCATGTAAAAAAAACCACAGTAAAACCAGCAACTGCGGCAGTCTGTAGTGCGATCCTCGATGTCAGTAACCAGCTAGTATCGCCACACGAACATGGAAGGTGAAACCAATGTGCTCAAAAACTAGTAGTGTCAAAGCACCGTTTCCCTACCAAACTAGGTTCTCTCTCCCACCAGGCAGGCAGGTGATTCAGCTGTATGATGTGTACAGCCAGCACCGATGCACTGAACCGAGACTTGCAACGCCCGTGTAGCTTTAAGGAGAAAAGTGATTCCAAAAACACAAAGCTCATG